ACATGGGTAAATGGGCCAAGTGTATGCCTGGCCTGAACCAGTCTGACCTCTCTAGTATTCTTAAAACAAAGTTTGTTTAGGAATCATGACCTACTCCCAGTCTTTGCAAAAATGAAACAAAATACTTTCAGGACTGTCCCTTCTTTGAATTCAATCAACAAGAGTCAACCTTAGTCATTCTTATTCCTTTTACTGCACTCTCAACTTCCCAATATGTAGTATTTCAAAGATTTTTTGACATATGTTGATGAAATGCCTCTACCTCTTTTTTTTGTCACCTAGTTGTGCCCTTCCTTAAATCAAACTTTACTCATCTTTCTCTCTCTAGAGTCTTGTTGCTGCCATTGTAATTCTGAGTAGTGACTTTTCTTGTTCCTTATACTGGCTTTCAGATTCTCTTTATTACAGAGAGGAAATCTTTGAGCGGGGCAATGAAAAGAGCAAGAAAAATCCATGGGATTCCATGGATCTATGGATTCTATGGATCTATGGATCCATAGAAAATCCATGGGATAGTATTGTTTCCATCACAGTAATTTGGCAGGAGGAGGAATTTTGTTCTCATCCATCTTAAGTGAATATATCAAATCCACAGATCTGCAATATCAAATCTGTAAGTCATGTTCCAAAATGCAGCAAGCCAGAATCACAACTATAGGAAATTCTCAGAAATAACTTTCCTTCCCCTTTAAACTTGGGAAGGTGTCCTGACAGTAGGTTTATCCTTCTAAGCCACTTTGCAAGAACAAGGAAGTTTTATGATAAGTCTCTATTTTTTAGCAGAGATTAAGATGGTGAATTCTTATGTTCAGTTCCCTGGTTAGCCCAAAGTCTGTTCAGTTTTCAGTAGATAGATGCAGGTATAACTTGAGGAAGAGAACAATGGGTGGAAGAACAGGGAAGGATCTAGAGCTCTTCAATGCATCCTTTTTCCCTTTCCCTCCTGCTGCTGGTAAATCTGCCCCTGAACAGCCAGTGCATTAAAGAAACAGCCTATGCTGATTGGCTTCTTACCTCTAGTGCCTCAGATATTGAGGAGATGAAGGCAAACCTCTGTGCCAGGGCTCTGTATCTTTAACTCTGTATGTGCACCAGCAGGCACAGTAGGGACCCATGCTGATTTCACCATATTATAGTATAAATGGCTATAAGTAAAAGGAGAGAACTCATGTTTTCTGTTACTTGTGTGGTCTCCTGGAACGATTAATATGTGTTTAATGAGTTCTATATGTATGCTTTCTTTAAATTAAAAGTTTATTTCTTTAACAAGACCACTTAAAATTAATTATGAAATTAGGGCAGCCAGTATTAAGGTTAAATTTACTATAGTATTTTAAAATAACAAAATAAAAATACCATGGCACACATTTTTTGTGCCAAAGTTTTAGATAAAGTCAAACCACTGAAGGGGTGGAAGTCACTGGCAGAGCATTTGGAATTATAACCTGCAAAATGTGGAACCAGCTTCTCATGGCTTTTCTTTTTCTCTTTTAAAGTACTCATCTACTTTATATTAATGACTAGTATGTTCAAAATTGAAAAACCTACTGGGAGATGAAAAAGCAGGTAATTCATTTTTTCTCATTAGGTCCGTGAATGGAATCTGAAAGAGGATGAGATGTACTAGTTGTACAGTCTTGAAGGTCATGCTAGCCAGAAACAATCACCTAAGTTCCCCAACTAGCAGTGATTCATCATTTTTGAATAAATCAGTTTTCAGTACAGTATGTTCTAAGTTTTTTATTCTTACATGTTGTGTCCATTATAGATGTTTGATTTAACTGAGAAAAAATTAAGGTCTCTTTTGCTAAATTTAAATTTAATTCCATTTTCCATCTACACACACACACTTTTATAAATTATAATTGGAAGACAAAGTCATGGTAAAGAGAAGCCATTAAACTTTCTATCATAAGGTGTAAAAATTAAGATTAAGAAGTCCCTTATATAAATGATTAAATAAAAATTGTGCAGGCATGACATCACAATCTAGATAGCAGAAAGAATAACACTTTATAAAGAAGATATATTTAATTGAATAAGAGTCTTTAAAATGAAAGGGGAAAAAAGGAAATATAGAACTGGGCCAAAATAGACTGCATAAGACAAGGCTATTCTCTTTTCTGTTTTAAAAGGTAGCTAGAATTGGTAATTGAACTCAGAGACACCAAGCAATTCACCCAGTCTGCCGATAACATGCACTTGTAGTTCTGGGTCCTAAACAAACACAATGTGGGCCTTGCTAGTGCTTTAGAAAAGCCTGGTTAATAATCAGTTGTCAGGGGTCGCCTCTGACCCGCGCGGGCCCTCCTTCCCAGGGAACAAAACCCAGCATCTGCTGCCTGCTGGAGCCATCGCAGTGCGGAGCTGAGCTCTGCCAGCCGCCTGCCTCGGCTCTCTGGCTGCGTGCGGCAGGGAAACCTGCGTCTGCAGCTTGGCTTCAGAGCCAGGGAAAGAGAGCTGGGCAGCTGGGTTACTGAGAGCTGCCTCGCTCTAGGGTAGAAGGAGATGACCTGGGGTTAGGTGACCCTGACTATCAAGTGTGTTGTCTTGACAAACAGTAATTGCTTGACAATTGTGCTAGGCTTGGGAAACATATGTTATCGTGTTCGTGCTGTATCTACTGATAGAGATTGTTTTCATTACACATACTGGATATTTCTAACTCTGCTGAAGCTACTGATGTGTGAAAACATAGATAAGTTCAAACTAGAGGTCTGGAACTTGAAAGTCTTAAACTTGAAGGTCTCTTCTTTGTTTGAGTTACTCCTTTTGGCTAGAGGATGTCTGTCTTTAACTCAAGAATCAGTCAATGTCCAGTATGTCCAGCATCTACAGTGGTCTTTCAAATGCTGGGTTGTTTTTTTGTTTTCTTTTGTTTTTTCGTTTTGTCTTGTTTTGTGGTTTGTTTGCTTTTTCTTTGTTGTTGTTGTTTTTGAATGCTGTCTTTGTTAGAGCTGGAGGAGTTTCAATGAAAGAATATCTTAGTTTTGTGTTTGGTGAATGCTACTGTCATCATTATTTCCCTGTATAGGTTTCAGCATTAAGGCTGTTGGACACATTATTAAGCAATCTACACTCAGGGCTCAGTACTTAAGGCATATGCAGAATTTCAGCATTAATTACATATTTTATACTTGGTAAGAAGGAGGTTTTTTTTTATCTGTACTGTAACAGAACTTCCTTTTGAACTACTGTCTACAGTTATGGTTTCCTCCCCTTTCAGCAGAAGTTTCAGTGGTAATATAAATGTAAGCCTCTTCCAGTTGAAAACAATCTTATTTTATTTGAAATACAGTATTCCTTTTTCTGAAAACTTGCTGAGTCTCTCCCTGAAATAATCTCATCTTTTTATATTTTTCCTTACCCCTTAATATGTCTGCTTAAGTATTGAGAAACTTCACAAGTACAAGAAAAGTGTAGGGTAACACACAAGATTATTGGAAATTTTTGTGGGGTATAGATTGCTAAAATAAAAGAAAGGAAGGGTAGGAAGCATGCGATGTATAGCACTCACAGGAGCTCAAGTGGTCAGGGAGGTGTATTAAAGAAAGGCAGCAGGAGTCTGTCAGGGGTCAGTACATGGTCACTCATGACCTCAGGGGCATAGAGACGTAGAATCCTTGTGACATGATTTGCAAGAGAATGTGTGGGCTTTGATTCACTCATTTACACAGCATCAGAAAGTAAATAGGAGACTGCTTTCTTATTTGATGAAGACTTCAGTCACTCAGATCTGCATCTTCCATTAAACTTCTTATCTTTCCTTCCATTTTTGTGTGCCTCTTTCCTGTTTCCAGCAGGCTCTCCCTCTAGAATGATGACTCTTATGCATAAGAAAAAAGACAGTTTTGCTATTACTTGTAAATTTGTTGTCATATGACACAAGCTGTCATTATTTTCCTTCTTGCTTTCAAATGAAATATCTCCCAGTCTGTATGTTGAAATTGTGTATTATTTGCAACTACAATTGTAGTACGTAGATGTAGTATACAACTTTTTATCTGTAGACCTCAAGCTTCTTTGAAGCCTGAAATGAGATTTTTTTCCTTTAAAACTCTCAGAGCTCAGGTAAGAGTGGCTGAGGCAAGACTAAACAGGATTTATTCCTTCTCGCTGTTAGGCCATTTGACAGATAGATACAGCTCTTCTAGCCCCTGAGTGCCACAGGCTCAGCACAGCATTTATGCAGTGCTTTGTGCAGATTCCTTCTCCCAGTGCGAAACTTGCCCTATTCCCACAGGAGGTGGCTTATGGCTTCCTTCCACAGCTCCTGCAGGAGGATCCCTGGGTGAGATATGAGGCTTTTAGTGGCCTTTCCTAGTCAGGTCTTAATTTCTAATGTGAAGAGAGTGGAAGACTGGTGAGAATTTCAATCCCTGTAATTTTGGGTTTCTTTTTTTATGTGGAGATATGATATGGCATGGGAATTCCCCTTAAGAGAGACCTTCAGAGTTGGATTGGCCTCTTGACATCTTTTAGGCATTGCTAACTAGGCACCTTGCCTTGGGAACTGTGAGTTTTATATTTTGAAAAATACAAATGTACAGGTAAACAAAATGTTGCTTAACACTTATTTCAGATCTTGGAATATTTTTGACTTTTATAACCCTGGTATGTGTAGCATGGGCACATCCTGTAAGCATTATTTTATCTCTTAGATTCAGTGAGATGTAGGACAGTTTTAACTGTCCCTGTCATAGAATGGAAAAGCCATTGGTGAAATTCTGAGTCAAGGACTGGATTATGGCCCTTGTTTAGACTCCCATTCCAAACTTTGGCCAAAGCACCATCCATCTTCCACCTTGATACAGATTTAACATCAGCAGTGTGATTTAACTTGAAGTGTCTATAGGAGCAGTAACCAGAAACCTGTGCTCAGACAGTAGGATGAAAGTCAGAGCAATTCTATTCTTTAATGTGTCAATCAATCCTGTTTATTTAAGCATATTCAGGAAATTATAGTAAGTTGCTTAACTTGCCTTTTAATTTATTTACAGGTCTACTTTGCTGAGCTATTGTGATAGTTTGATTTTTATGATTTGCATCAAGTGTGAAGCTTTCAAAGCCATGTGTCAAAGGTAAGTTATTTCAATAATACTGATATTTGCATATGTCCCTAAAAATATTGTATGTTTATGGGAGAAGTTTTCATCACTTTATTGAAGACTCAGCTCTGTTGAGAAGTCACAATCCTGAGTAAAGGGTGTTATGAAGCAGTAGGAACTCCTGCAGGGAGCTCTGACAGATATTTTCTCCCAGTGCTTGCCAGTGTAGTGAGGAAGTGTGCGTACTGCACCAGCTTTTAAAATAGTGCAACCTGATCCTTTCTTTACAGCTCAGAGGATGGGGGTGGGGAGTGAAGGTGAAAGAATAGGAGTCCATATTCTCCTCCTCCTCATTTTGGGTCTGGTTTTCTTTATTGAGTGAAGAGAGCATTAATTGTGCCTGACTATTATGAGAAAGGACCCCTTGCTCTCACCCTTCACATTTCTTGTGACATAAGCCAGGTTTAATCTCATCCATGTTAGGAGAAACTAAGAACACTTTGCAGTGTCATAATGAGATTCCCCCTCATTTTCATTTTCCCTCAATGGTATGTAAATCATTGCTTGTAAGGGATAAAAATCTGTAGGAGTTATGAAACCAAAGTGATTGCACCAATGTGGAACTCCTAGTTAGCCTGCAGTGTTTATCACTCTCCTTAGTGTAATAAAACTGAGAAGAAACATACTTCAAAACAAAAGAGGCCATCTAATCTTTCTCTGTCTAACTAATAAAAGTAAAATTGACAAAATAATTTAAATTACTAACTAAATATTTAAAAACAAGGATGGACAATGTGTAAGTCAGCAAATTGTTTTGCTGAGTGTTTCACTTGTGTATAGGGTTTTATAAGTTATCCAAATATAGGAGTTTATAGATTTAACTTAGAAAGATTACCAAAATTAATATTTAGTCAGTAGTTGTGACAGCCAATCAGTACAGTGTGGTACAGTGGAATCTTTGTGAATTTCATTGTTTTATGAAAAATTATGTTCATGCAAATAATACGTGCAGACAGAAACGAGGATACTGAGTCCTTAAAAAGTACAGTAGTCTCAATAATCTGTTTTTCTAGCTAGTGTTGACTAGTTTTCAGCATATTTATTTTTTACTTTTTTCTGGAGTCTAAAGGCATATTTCTCATCTGGTGAACTACTACTGACTTCTTAATTTCCATTCATCAAAGTATATTCATTTGTACCTGTAATCCATGCTAAGAACACTTTTTTGAATCTGTGCTAGATGTTATCTTGTGTACACATTGTGGACACATTTTGAAGTGATGCCCTGTCTAGCTAATATTATCTATACATGTGTTGTATTCACAATGCTAACTGTACAGTTAAAAAATACTAATGCGAACTAAAATGGTACTTTAAAATGTTACTTTTTATGAAACATTAATGCCAAATTTGAAAACTGCTCTATTAGACGTCCATCAATATAGTTAGAGGGTAAGACGCAGAATCTAAAAGTAGGTTCAAGAGAAGGAGCTGAGCAATATGAGATACTAGATATGAAACCTGCATAAGGGTTTATCCAAGAATGCTGTCAGCCTTTAGTTAGAAGTATCATGCCATCACTGGCCAACTGCTGGAAGGAAGCAAGAGTCTTCCTTTCTTAACCACTTCCACAAAACACCAGTTACTATAAAAGGATAGCTGGATCTATCCTTCTTTCTTCGTGCACCTCAGGCTCCATTTTTTAAAACTTCTTTTTCTCCCCCTGTATGTCATCCACTGTAAATAACCACTACACTTTCCTGCTGTAAGTAGTACTGTCATATGGCTGCAACAACATAAAATGGACATTTTGGATAACATAAGAGCTGGGTAGAGGCTTCTAAAAAGCAGTAACTGGACTTGCAATCTTGTTAGTTATGCATGGCTGCTGCTTGTTAAAGTGCTACTGTGCAAAAGCTGAAACACTGGAACTGCCTGCTTGCAGAACCAGGAAGACTGTGCTGTCTGAATCAGTCAAATTTCCAAATGTAAGTTAGTAACACCGTTTACAAATGAAAAGATGGAAATGTGTCTAGAGTTTTAAATGAAAGCTGTAGAAATCCATAGCATAGGCCTTTATGGTGACCAGAGAAAACTGCTTGTTATCGTTAGGAATTATAGGGCATTAAAAAACAAAAAAACAGACAAAGAAACCCTGGGATTCTATATACAGAATAAGACTACAAAAATAAAAAAAAATTAAAAGTATCAAACATCAAATGGTACAGACAGACTGGTCACATATACAGTAATGCAGCAGTAGTTGACCGATAATCTTTTTCAAGTGTGAAAAAAAGAAAGGAAGGGTCATTCAGCTAATAATGTGCTAAATTACTCATTTATGTACTTCAAGTATCAAAAGAAAAGCAGAGTTAGATAAATTAATAACAAACAAGCCTTATAAAATAAACACAAAAAATTATCTTGATCTTGCAGACTTAAAAAGCCTTCCTATGGTATCATTAAACTGAATAAAAACTACATACTGTACATATTAAAATACAGGTTTCAACCCCAGTCACTTAATACAAATTCACTCTTCTTTGAACTCTAGTAACCCAACTCTAATCTCCAAGGAGTTTTGAAAGTTAAACCAGAAAGGGCTGACAGTGTGAGGAGGTGTGTATGTGTGTGTGCATAAACACATGCACACATATACCTTGTTACCTAATCGATAAATTTAAGATATACATATCTTAAAAGAGAAAGTAGGTTGATACCTAATACCTTTATGTGTGGGATATTGAATTGACATTTGTTTATTATCTCAGGGAGTGTGACTGATCTGTGGAACAGCTAATACCAATTCAAGGCCAGAATTTAAGGGGAAAGTTGGTTTGAGGTACACAGAAACTTAGCTCATGGCGGTGGGAGTTGGCTCCAGTTCTTGTGCCTCAGTCATGAAGCCATGTCCCTACCCAGGCTGCTTTTCCTATCCACCTAATACATCTAGCCACCTTTTGTTTTCAGAGAACAGGCAGTGTTGGGGCTTGCTTTGTACTGTTGCCACTTTAATTCTCTCTGTGTCAAGCTGCAGAGCCGCAGCCTGGCAGCAGCACTGGAGATCCAAGTGCAGCAGGAGTAGGGAGCCCTGGAGGAGCCAGTCCCAGCTCTCGGTCACTGGCCAGCCCATTGCTTGTACAAGTTAGCATGCTTAAGTTGACATTGATCCCTCAAGGGACTAGCTACCAGCTAAACAAAACTGGAGCACAGGGCTAGCCAAGCATAGATTCTCTGTGACCCTGTGTCAGGACCTGTCATCCTGTTGTAAAAGCCAGCTATGTTACCTCCTTGCCCTCTGAGACTCCCAGGGAATCCCCAAGTAAATGAAGAGGGGAGTTATTTACATCTCCTTCATGTCTCCAGACCAATATTTTTTTTCTTCTTTTTCTTAAAAACAAAACAAACCAAAACCAACCAAAATCCAAGAGATAATGGAGTACTTTAAAAAGGCAGATTTGTTCCCTTATGAAGGCATACTACAAAAAACAACAATAATTTACTCTATTAATTATAAATAATGGAAAATGTGGCAGCATCTCTGTGGTTAAAGAAGTGAGCATACTGTCATTGACGGTAGCACAACTGTTGTACACAGTTGGGAAAGACAGACACATTGGAATATTACTGGTGGTTTAGAATATTTAGAAGCCAGGAGTTCTACTAAGTCTGTTTAATATGCTGAGGGTAGAAATGCTCATTTGCTTTTGCAGAGGAAATAGAGCAAAGATACACCACAGCAGAGAAAGCTAGCAGGACAAAGGAGATACTATTGACTCATTCCAGACTGCCGACTTAGCAGCTCAACTTTGTTTCCTTTTAACTTTTGTAACAGTAGGAGCTCGAAGCTTCTCAGTCTATTTTCTGCACAAATAGAAACACCCAGACTTCAAAAAGTAATATGCTTTGAAGAACCCCAAACCATTAACACATTAAAAACCGTGTGTACTATTAAACAAGGCTTCCTGGTTACTTGAATTTTGCACGAAGTAGATGCTGGTGTTTTGGTAGTAATTTTTACACTACTGCATTCTGGCAGACAATTCTTGACAAATATCAATTTGTAAAGCACTTTTTGTTGGTTTTAGTGTGATACAGTTTTATTGACTTTGCAGTGGGTAAGTACTGCTTCAATATTTTCATAGGCTGAGTAAACCCCACGACACTTTTTCCCAACTCAGTAGCACATGGCAACAAGTTTCTAACCCTATAACATTACACTTGTAACACCGGGGAAAGCACATGATGTTTGATATTTCGATTGATATTTCGATTTTGTCCTCGATACTGAAGTCTATATACCTTAAAAAAAATTATTGTCCACTTTGGACAACGAAGTCTCCAGGGCCATCGATATGACAGCATCTACACTGACGGTGTCCCTGTCCCAAAGTCCCATCAGGACCGTGCTCCCCGGTGAGAGACCGGCCCCCGCGTCCCCGCTGTAACTTCACAGACACCCCAGGCTTGCAAATACACCTCGCCTCTCTCACGAGTTATCCCT